TAATTTAACCCCATAGAAGCTGCCCTTTTGCAGCCAAATGTAATTGGGAAGAAGAGAGTGAATTCATGCTAGATAGATCATGAGTTGGGAAAACTTGGATTCTAATATCACCTCAATTCAAATTTATGTTTGCCAGTCCTGATCAGACAATCCTGTTAATCAAGTCAGAACTATGATTTAGCATGTTGTGAGACCAGCTAAATACAATGGGGGGTAGGGTGGGGGTGTAATTAGAGGAAGTTATTGTGACCTGTAGCTCACAAATTATACCTTTTAATACGATTTTTAATAAGATACTACCATATTCCTTATGATTTAGGCTCCTAAAGTGGTTTGAGAGAGACAGCTTGACTGTCAAGTGACTTATCTGAATTGATTTTGCAGTGAGGTCCATAATGGAAGCAAGGAACTTATAGTTCACTTGTTATGACACTTTGGAAAAAGAGCTCCTGGCATTCGACAGAAAAGAGGGAGACTTGACAGCTCGTATTTATATCTCCAGTTTTTTTTTAACTGCTGTCCTCAAGTGACTTACCAGAATCAAAAAGATTAGTGCTGTAATATGTAATAAGTAATTTCTTATTCCACAGTTGACATCCTGGCTTATAGGTAAGGGCAAAGTAAGGAATTTTGGAGTCAATGCAATACCAGGTTTGGATCCTTCACACAGCTCTAGGCTAATGTTTCAGAATAATTCCTGTAAAATAAGATGTTTAAAATTATGTATTCATAATGAGCGCCCACAGAACCTGAAGTAAAAAGTAAGGTTACATTTAGAATTTTCATATTAGATGACAAAAATTATCACACAATAAAATCCTGTAGGATAATAACTCCGTTGGCTTGATTTACACATTGACTAACATGTTGCTGCATTAAATCAGCCAGTCCATTAAATCTACTCTGTATATAACATGGAGGTCTGACTTCCTATGGGCAGAGCTGTCCACTCAAAATCATCTTTTTTTGAGCCTAATGCAGCTGCATATGCTGTGACCCCACTTAGGCTAATAAGGTACAAAATAGAATCTTGTTTAAGATTGCAACCAAATACCAATAATCCTTACTTAGAGAGCTCATTTGTGACTGATAACTCCATCATGATATGACATGGTCACTAAGTGTAAAAACACATGAGCATGAAATTCTTACAATGTTATTTCCTATTCAGTCATTGTGTCACTGCAGTTCTTAAATGAAACATTGTGTGACCATGACTTGCAATTTTACTACTGCCTTCGCCATTAACTCTGTTTGTCCCAAGCTGATTGAGAAGCCCTCAAATGGTACTGAAGTGGTCATAAATGCTCACCAGTTGTGATAGTCATAAGTGTAAGGCTTGGTCACAAAGCTGTTGTTTTAAACCGTCATAATTTTCATCATTTTATATTACTATTGTAAAGATATAATATTTACTATTTGATTCTATTCCTAGTCTCCCCAAATAATTCTAAAGATAATTATAATATTAGCAAATGATGAAAATATCCTGTACCAGAGTCAAATAAACTGATCTAGAAAGGCCAAAATTTCACTTGCTGTTATGCAGTTTCCTTTGAAGTTCCCAGTAAACTGCTTTGAATATATGGATAGAACCAGTGGTGGGATTCAGCCAGTTCGCACCACTTCGGGAGAACCGGTTGTTAACTTTCTGAGCAGTTTGATGAACAGGTTGTTGGAAGAAATTATAGGGCAGAGAACCGGTTGTTAAATTATTTGAATCCCACCACTGGATAGAACTATGGAAAGTTTTGATAGATTCCCCTGGTTGACTCTAAAACATCAGACAGTTGGGAAATTCAAAATGGTAAAGAATTCTGACTTACTCATGAATAAGAATTCTCCTATTTGGTTCCCTCTGGATAGCACCATCCATGATTTTTTTTTAAATTACATGCAAATCAACAAGTCTGAATTTGTGCCAACCCTAACAAGCAAGGATAAAAAGGCCCAGAATAAGCTATATTTTTAAAATCTGATTTGTTAAGTGTGAAGCAAGCTAGAGCTTTTGGTCTGGCATAAAATTCAACAACTCTGTAACTATCCATACCTTCAGTTCAGTCAAATATATATATATGAATGAATGAATGAATGAATGAATGAATGAATGAATGAATGAATAAATAAATAATTTTATTTCTATACCGCACTTCTCCCAAAGGACTCAGGGCGGTATACAGCCTATTAAAAGCACATAAGCTAAAAGCACATAAGCGCATATAATACATAAGCTATCACTGTCCTCTCCCAGGGTACAATTTTGAAATGTATGTGGCTCAGTCAGCTGCATAATGACCAGTAGTAGTTAAGGCTGTTTTAAGAATGTCTGAAAACTATGCAGTTAAGTATTATTCTAAACATTTAATGTCCCTTGCTTTGAACTCTGGCAGAACCATTTGCTCTGTTTTATTATTTGCAAATGGAAGAATCTTAAGAATCTTAAGGGCTGGATAACAATGTACTGCATGCTGTGGTGACACAGTGGTTAAAATGCAGTATTGCAGGCTAATTCTGCCCATAGCCAGGAGTTTGATTCTAAGCCTTCCATCCTTCTGAGGTTGGTAAAATGAGGACTCAGATTGTTGAACGCAATATGCTGACATTTGTAAACTGCTCAGACGGTAATGTAAAGGATTATGAAATGGTATATACGTCTAAATGCTATTGCTATTGTTATGGCTCTTACAGTTGCATGGTTTCCATTTAAAAACAAGTAAGAGAAGAACTGATAGTGAGGAACATGGGTTTGAGCAGCTTGTTATGCCGAATGCGTGGTGTGCAGCTGCTTGTTATTTTTCTTTAATTACCAATATGGGCTAATTAAATCTCATAGCTGTGCTGGTGTATTTGGGTGTATGGATATAAGGGTGATTTCATCCCAGTCACAGCAAGGAATAAACCTCCTTTTCCTCATTGCCTGTGGTCCCATTAGCAGTTGAATTGCACAGCACTAATGAAGATATAGTTGTATGCTGTGCATTCTGCATAATGTGCAGTTTGTCCCTTAGGCAGGATCCTGCTATCTTTCTGCTTCCTTTCTCCCCCCCTTTTTTGTTGGGGTGGGGGGGTGGGCTAGTGTTCTGTGGTAAATCACTGAGAAAAATGAGTCAGTTATTATTCTCCAAAACTCTTAGCTAAACATTGAACTTCTTTTTTTACCTCTCAACTCCTTCCCTGAGGGGAGACAGTAAGGGAGGTAGCTCAGCTGTTTGTTGTCTCAATTACTTCAGATATTTCTGTAGTTAATTATAAACATTTAAATTATTCTGGGGGAACCCCTCTGGATTTGCATTTCCTTTATACTTAGTTCAAACTATGTTCTGATTTATTTACTTGCTCAGGAAAAAAAAAACCACTTTCTTTTGGTCTTTAAGAGACTAATTTTTTTTGAGGATCAATTGGGTAGAAGCAGGGAGTAAGGTTTGTATGTTTGAATACAACTAAAGTGACCCTAACTAAGGGTCACTTTAAACCTGCTTTAAACATATAGATAAATTTACAGTGTATGAATAAATATATGATTGAATATATTGAATGGAGTTAGAAATTACCTGTCAGCAAAGCAATCTTAATTTCACTGTCAGCAAAGTTAGTTATTGTACTTCCACTGACTTCAGAGGAAGGCAAATGTTATTGTCAAGTAAAATCTTTTGGTGTTTGTTTTTTTGTTGATCAAAAATTCACATAAAAGGGACTAAAAAGATGTGTCCTCCTGAAAATAGTGTACAAATAGTAATATAGTTTCTATGAAAAGAACTTATGTGGAGGGATTTGCATTTTTAATTTTTTTTATCAAGGACATTTACATATCAGACAATTTAAAAGATAACTGTATTCAAATTGTTTCTTGAGTAATTTTCATCATTAAAAATAATGCACAGAAAACCTCTATACAGTATGGTAAACATGAAGACATTGTGAGCATATGTTGCTTTGAATTTTTCTGTGAGTTTTAAAAATTCAGTAGGAATTACAAAGGCAAACTGGATACTGCAGTATTGTTAGAGACCATAAAACAATTTTTAAAGCTATTTGACACCCATGCTGATTGAATCTATTCTTTTAATTTTAAAATCTTTGGGTAAATTCACATCTTTATTTTCCAGTGATAAGACCTTATTTAATATGTTTGCATATGGAAACTACTTCTGAAACTGTGATAATACAAGGTTATAAGTAGAATTACTCCCCACCCATCATACATCTGAATACTGATTTCAAAAATCTGAATATGAAACATGATCAGAAAAAAATAAAATGATCTCAGAGCTTCCAGACTTAAGGAATATTAGTGCCAATTGAACAGACTGCAATAAAGTAAGAGATTGTAAAAAAACCCAACAACCTAGTAATCAAGTTGACTATGGGGAGTGATAAATTACGAGCAGTAATTCAGAGAGCACACCATGGATTACAAGTGTGATAGCATCTGGAATGCCTGCACAAGTCCTAATTCCAGCATTGTGTGTTAAAATTTGGAAGTGGATTATACACACATGCTCTTGAAAATCCTTAATGCATTTTCTTGTTTTGGAGAGTTCAGATTATATGGAGGCTGGTGAATAAGTTCAATCAAATGCTCTTACAGGCGGCATATAGATTCTAGACATTTATAGATCTGTTCTAGACTTCTACACACAAATAGACATTTGTGAACCTGGAGCTGTTGGGGGCAAGAGATGTACTTATCCTCTGACATCACACTATTACTATTTGCTTAAATAGGACTAACATCAAACCCCTTTAAAAGTAGTATGTTGCCTCTCAGTTCTACATGGAATATTCCCAGGTCAATGAATATAAGATCTCAGCCTGTATACAAGGAAATGTGTATAGAAAAACAGGCAAAAAATGAAGTGGGGTTCTGAGAGGTTAAGAATTATATTTTAAAAGGCTTGTAAAGATGTTAGAATAAAAGAAAACCAAATGCAATAACATATATAGTACTATGTTTCCTTTTTAGAGCGGACCCACTAATTAATTTGTTTTCTTTCTTACAGCGGGAACAACATACATATTTAGCAAAGGTGGTGGACAGATTACATATACCTGGCCTCCCAATGATCGGCCCAGCACCCGAGCAGATAGACTGGCCATAGGGTTTAGCACAGTTCAAAAAGAAGCCATCTTGGTGCGCGTGGATAGCTCGACTGGGCTTGGTGATTACTTAGAGCTGCACATCGTAAGTACCGTCAGCAAAATATAATGCTACTATTTGTCTGAAAGCTTCGATTTTAGCTTTTGCAATGGCTATTACGGTATTGTCCTTTTCTGAAATTGATCTTCTACCATTGAATAATATTTTTCCAAAGCAATTCAATGATTTATAAATTTCAGTCTCAGTTTTGGAAGAGATGTTGGCATTAAGAGACTAGCCCTTTTGGTTAATAGCAAAATACAAGAGTTTAAAGCATTTTGAATGAGCTGACTTCAGTATAATTTTAAAAGGCTGCAGGTTTGGTTATGAATTGTTTTAATAAAATAGGATTCTCTTTGACCTATTGCAATTATGTATGAAATATGAAGCTATATATTAAATTGTGAGTATGGTATATAATTATGATTTTGACTTGCTGGGAACAATGTAATCACTTTTTATCATTTTATGTGCTAAGTGCACACTAAAAATCTCACAATTGTACAATATGACACCAAATCTAACATGGAAACAATAGGTGTAACTTTTTAATTATTATTTTGTGTTGCTTTTTAATTAATAACATGAAAGTGAAAGAAATATGACAAAGAAAAAAGTCTATAGTATAAAAAAATCATTCCAGCAATAAAAAAAATACAATTTTACATATTCTCATCCAATGTATAATAATAATAATAATAATAATAATAATAATAATAATAATAATAATAATAATTTATTCTAATACATATATATTTCTCTTATATAATTAATATATTTTAACCTATTGTATTTTGTATAAATGAGTCCCATATCTCATTGTACTTGTCTATATAAAGTCTGTGTCTATAAACAGTCAGCTCATAGGTGGAAAGTGCAATCTGGTAACAATATCGGATAACTTAAATATTGTAGAGTGAGCCAGTTTGGTATAGTGGTTAAAGCATCAGGATAGAAACCAAGGACCATGATTTCTAATCCTACCTTAGATACAAAGCTATTTGGGTAGCCATGGGCTAGTCACTTTCTCTCAGCCCTAGGAAGGAAGAAGTGGCAAAACATTTCTGAAAAACCTGAAAAGCCAAGAGGAGTACAGGAGTCTAGTCTCTGAGACACAATTGAATGGAAGAAAAAAAGAAAGCAAACTTCCAAAGTATTGTTGAGATTTCTATGCAACTGTAATATGTCTTCTGGAATTCAGGTACCATAGTTAGAAATCCTAGACCTCATGTTCCCTGAATGCATACATACGCCCAGAAGACTGTGATGTGATTGAAAGACTTTTCTACTTTCCATATTATGTCTAAAAAGGAATGTGGAGAAGCTCATGTCCTGAATAGTGTGGTTTCTGGAATTTCTGGGCCATAAAGAGTTAAGACCAATTTTGTTTTGAATTGAATTAGAATTTGTAGGGTCCAAAGAGGATGCATGGGCTAGGAGTAATGCACAAATTTGAATATCCAAACTAGCCATTGTTAGAACTGTCCACATCATTGGTCTCAACTATAGTAATATATTGTAGCTCAGTGGTATGAATGTCAGGAAAAGATGTATTACTATTAGCAAATTTGCAAAAAAATCTATCAGAGGAATTGTAATGGTCCTATTTGGTAGGATATGTTGTTAATCCTGACAAGAGCTGACTGATCCTATCATTACCGTGAGGTGATAAATTTTGAATAGAAAACAGTTGGCACCCTGAAAGGACTAGTAGGGTAATTTCAAGTTGCCTTAGAGCAAACAAGTAGCAATCAGCATGGAAAGTGTCTAGATTTTTATGGCATAATAAATAAATGATCAGTTGAGATAAACTTAAGTAGGGCAACTGAGCATTTTAGCAGTTTAGATTAATCTCAACTTTGTTAATATATTAAGTTTGAGCCAGATTTAACAGCAACCTTGCTACTTCACTGAAGAAGAAATAACTCCTCTGACAAGAAATTACTTATTGATCTATTAACAATATACTCGGAAAATGTTCAGTGATGATTATTTCTAAATCACCTCATCCCATCTAGCTAAGTTATGTATCATCTGCTCTTTTATATCCCAAACTTTTCCCTGTTAGTACCTTATCTTATTTACTCATTTATTTTCGATATTGTAATGCTGTCAGTATTGGCATTGCATTATATTTGTTCAGCAACCTCAAGGAACAGTAACTCTCCTCTTAAATCATTTTTATGCTGCCTTTTAGGAACAGATTTTACAAGCATTAAAAAAAAAAAAACCAATGTGATGCAGTTTTTAAAGCCAAGTCAACAAAAGAGTTGTGCAACATTACCGTACACTTAGTAATAATGACAGCAAAACAAAAAGAATGCAAACACTAAAAACAAAATAATCTAACAGCAAGGCAAAGAATTATCCTTAAGATGTTTCTAGATTTCTTGGCTACTGTCTTGAATCATGAAAGCTATTCCTTGGAAATATGTCTCAATTATAGTTTGTCGCAGTCAGCCAGAGGTTCAGACTGTATTTGGCATTTTTATCCACCTATTGAGTCTTTCCCAAAAACCTGGGATAACCAATGTTGCTGTTGTTGTTGTCTTTGTTGTTATTATAGTTAGCTTCATAGCAGGGGTGGGTTCTAATTTTTTTCTACTACCGGCTCTGTGGGCGTGGCTTATTTTGTGGGCGTGGCTTGGAGGTCATGTGACTGGGTGGGCGTGGCTATGTGTATAGGGACTACTCAGAGGGCTGAAAAAAGTCATTTCTGACAGGTCCTCGCACTTTTGACTGGTCCTCACACTTATGACCATCCTCACATTTATGCCCGTGAAGCATTCTTAACAACCATGTCACTCATTTCACAACTGCTTCTCTTCACCATGGTGACAAGATAGGGCAAAAAACGTAAAATGTGAGGACAGTCGTAAGTTCAAGGACTGGTCAAAAGTGTGAGGATCAGTCAAAAATATTTTTTTCAGCCCTCTGAGTAGTCCATATGCACAAAAGGACTATCCAGAGGGCTGAAAAAAGTGATTTCTGACAGGTCTTCGCACTTTTGACCGGTCCTTGCACTTATGACTGGTCATCATTTATGCCCATTGTAGCATTCTTAAGAACCATGTCACTCATTTCACAACTGCTTCTCTTCACCATGGTGACAAGATAGGGCGAAAAACGTAAAATGTGAGGACAGTCGTAAGTTCGAGGACTGGTCAAAAGTGCAAGGACCAGTCAAAAATAACTTTTTCAGCCCTCTGAGTAATCCATATGCACAAAAGGATACAGCAATAGAGACGGATGAAGGAAGGAGAAGAGAGGGAAGGAAGAGAAGGGAGGAAGGAAGGGAAGGGAAATTAGAGTAGGAGTGAGGGTAAGAGAGGGAGGAAGAGAGGAGGAGAAGGAAAAAGGAAGAGGAAATAGGGAGGAGAAGAAGAGGGGGGAAGAGAAAGTAAGAAGGAAAGAAAAGAAAAGAGAGAGGTGGTAGGTTTGAGGAGAAAGATTGCTGTACAATAAAAAAGATGAAAGGGAAGAAAGGCAACCCCAAACAAATATAAAGATATTAAGATAAAGAATGAATTGTTAAACTTTAAAGAATAAAAGCGAACAAATATGAATAAATAGCAATAATTAGAAACACACATACAAACATACAATGTATTTTCTTTGAACAGAGCATTTGGCCGGTTCACAAATTTAAACAGTGTTTAGTCATTTCAATTAAATTTACAATTTCTATATTTCCTTTTTGCCATACTTATTCCTCATCTATTTTTTTTTAAAAAAACCAATATTACCCTTCATCCTCATCTCTAATCTTAATCAAATTCAATTTTTCCCTTCTATTCTATATTATACCCCTTCCCATTGTCATCTATTTTTATATCCATCCTCACATTGGTTAATTATGTAATATTACAGTTGTTTAATACAAATTCAACATTTTAATATAAATAAATTAGTTATATGACTATCTTTTTTGTATATTAATCAATATGAACATGAATATTCCAATTATTTTCATGCAATCCAATTTCTTACAAATCAATTAATTATATTTACCAATAATAATAAACCAAATAATTTCCCCCATATATTCCTCCAAACCACAACTTAACCATTTCTGCTTTCAACACAATATACAATTAATAGTATCTCAATTATTACAATTCCCTAGTTAAATAGAGCTTTTTTTCTTTTGTGTTTTAAAATCTTGAACTCTCCTCTTTTGCCCTAAATTTCCCATTGTTTGCACCTACCTTTTTTGGTGAGCAAAAGGAAAAAGAAAACTCTCCCTGCCTCATTTTGTTACGTTGCAGCAGAGCCTGCTTTCAGTTTCATTTTTTCCCTAGCATAGCTACTCATTTGTTTTCTTTTAACACTGATCAGCTGTAGGGCGGCCCTTTGAAGCCCCGCGGCAAGAGTTTAAACAGTTTTTTTTCCCTCTAGCCATCAGCTGGGACTCAGAAGGCAGCAATAGATTGGGAGTGGGGCCAAATAAAGGGTAAGAATAGCGCGGGGGGGAGGGAGGGGAGAACCGGTTCGGTGACATCATATCGTCACCACTACCGGCTTGCGGGAATCGGTGCGAACCGGGAGCAACCTACCACTGCTTCATAGTCAGTCAGATGTTTAGACTGGATTTGGTGTTCTCCACCTATCAAATACTTTCCAAGGATCTGGAATAGGCAGATGTTCTTTTTTAATAATATAAAAGATAATGTTGCAGGATGTAAACTGTTCCAAATAAACCTGCCTTTAAGAATTGACTGGTGGTGATTTTGTCAGTGCTGGTGGTGTTCCAGATGTTTTGGAATTGCACCCAAGCCACCTATCATTGTTGGTACTACCTTTGCTTTCTTTCTGCCACAATCATTCTATTTCCAGGTCTTTATACAGTATTTTTTAATTTTTCTCCAGCTCTTTCTCTTCTATTCTGCTGTCTCCAGATACTGCAACATCCAAATCCAGAGGTTTTTTTGTCTTTCTTATCGACAGTTGTCAAGTCTGGGGTGTTGTGTGGCAGGTGCTTGTCTATTTGAATTCTAAAGTCCCAGAACACTTTAGTTTCTTCATTTTCTATTGCATTCTCTATT